CAGGGATTGTGGCATGGCCATCCCCCCTGGGGGGTGATTTCTCGCTCTCTGTCTCTATCTATGTCTGTCTGGCGAGCACACGCGCCTAATGGTCCTAGTAGTGTCACTGGGCAGAGCCATGGTCCTCTTGAGCAACCACTGGCTCCTCAGACTGGGGAGGAAGTCAGGCCTTCCAGCTAGGCCAGCACGCAGGCCTGTTCTTCACTGACAGCGTGTATGCGTCCACAGGGAGCCACGCTCACACACTGCCCAGGACCCAGTGGCACCACCCTGGAAGGCAGCATTTCAGTTTTCTTAAGGGTTCTGCCATAGGGCCCATGCACTAGCTGAAGAGAGCTGGGGAAGTGAGAAATCACACCCCTGAGGAAGGCCACGCCACCATCCCTTCACCCCCATTCTCCTCCTGGGATCTCGGACACGTGCACACACGCGCCCGGAATGTTTCTCAAACCATGGGGCCTGGACTTGAGCCGTGCAGCCAGCCGGGCAGGACCCAGCTGCCTTCCCCACACCACCTGCTGGGCCTTACCTCATACCTGCCTTTAAATGAAGAGACCGGATCTCGCGGTTGCCCAGTCTAGCCTGAGCTCATGATACCCTGCCTCGCCCTCCCGAGCGGCTGGGACGACAGCCCGGGCACCCTCCTTCAGGGACTCCCGACATGACAGTCTCCTCCTCCGTCCACCCCACCTAAACCGAGATCTCCTGAAACATAAACCCCTGCAGCACGCTGCACCTCCTCACGCAGACACGGCCTTGCCGTGGGCACTGCAGGTGCCTGGCAGACACCGCGGGAGGACGGCCCAGCCACATCAGGCACGCCTGGACGAGACCGCCGGCTGCTGCTCCTCCCGGTCACAGCACCCAGATCCCCTGGGACCCGCAGGCCAGCTCAGGTTCATTACCTCTGTGACGTCCCCAACGGCCGACAGGTCCTCGTAGAGCCCCATGTTTTCTACAGAAAGCTTCGGAGAAGAGACAGACAACTTGAAAGCAGGCCTAGTCTCGGCCGGGGCAGGCCTGAGGTACACGCGGGTGGGGGACTTGCCTTGAGGTCAGCCAGCCGCGTCTTGGCCAGCGAGACGTAGTCGGTGAGGAGGGAGCGGTACTTGTCTGGAACCAGCGGGGGGTAGAGGATGTGCACCTGTGGACGGGGTCGCGGCGTGGAGAGGCAAAGGTCACTCCGCTCAGCGAGACCAGGAGACATGGCCCCGCAGAGAACGCAGCAGGGCAGAGCCAGGACGGGGGGCTGCCTCCCTCAGCCCTAGGCCAAGACGTTGGGTCCCGGAGAGCACTGTGGGTGCTAGACCACAGAGGGGCGGAGGAGGGGGAGGAACTAGGGCAGTGAAGTGGGGTCGGCCGCTGCCTGTAAGGAGTGTGGTCCTGCCCGCCAACAGCACTCATCCGGGAGGCATTCCCTACCCAACAGAGGGAGGCGTTTTTGGTGTGGTGGAGAAGGTGCTGAACTCCCATGTGGCTGACCACGGTTCGACTCACAGACCTGGTGGCCTGAAAATCAGGCGCGTGCGTGTGTGTTCCCAGGACCCTGAGAGAACGGAGAAAGGACTGCGGCCATCCCAAGGGGTGACTTCTCGCTTTCTGTCTCCCCAGCAAGCACACACACCTCATAGCAACGATCTCTCCAAAAGGCCAACAGGTGGCCTGATGGTCAAGGCACTGGACTCCCATGTGGCTAACTGTGGGTTGAGGGCTGGATGTGGCAGCTTGGTCTCTCACATTCCTTCTGTCTCTCTGGTGAGTACATGTACCCTATAGCAAACTTTATAGAAAATAGCAATAATAATTAAAACTAAACAAGTAATTCTATATTTAAAACAAAAGATGCACAGGGGCCAGCAAGTGGCATGGTGGTTAAGGCATTGAAATTCCCACGTGGCTGACCACAGTTCGAGTCCCATGCCAAGGGGCTTTCTCTCTGTCTTGCTCTGGCAAAACTCATGTAAAAAAAAAATAAAATAAAATAATTCTTTTTTTTTTTTTTAAAAAAAGATGTACAAAGATTAAATGTAATTCAAAAATTGTCAAAAATACATATATTCTTTTTTGGAGAGGTTTTAGCTATAGGGCACGTGCGATCGCCAGACGACAGAGACATAGGGACAGAAAGCGAGAAATCACCCCCCAGGGGGGATGGTCACACCACAATCCCTTCTCCTCCATTCTCCTCTTGGGCTCTTGGGCACACACACGCACGCACACATGCCAGATGTGAATTCAAGCCACCAGGCCCGGGGCTCAAACCAGTCGACTACATGGAGTCTAGTGACCTAGCCATCACGCCAACTGCTGGGCCCGTATATACACGTTAACTAAGAAGCCCGCAGCTCAGGGCGTGAGTAGGGGCTGCCATACGCACCTGCACTCCAGCTGACCTGCGAAGGGAGCCCAGACAGCAACAGGAAGTGACGCCAACGCAGCCCCAAGGACACACTGCTCCAGGCTGGCACCCACACGGCACAGCAGCCGAGCTCAGCGCCCGGGGCTGGCCAGGCACCGCGGCCGAGTCAGCATGCAAGACGCGGTCGGGCAGAGCCAGAGGGGTTGGGGCTCTGCTCACCAGACCCCATGTTTGTGCAGCTCCTGCACCAGGCCGGCAGAGGCCAGGGAAGACCACAGAGGTTGGTCCCTTGGTCACCAAAGCCTCACCCCTCTTTTTGAGATGTTTTTGCTATAGGTCATATGCGTTTGCCAGAGAGACAGAGAGAGAGAGAGACAGAAAGCAAGGAATCACCCCACCCCAGGTGATGGCCACACCACCAGTTCCTTCTCTTCCATTCTCCTCACGGGACTCTGAGCACGCACACACACGTCCACGATGAGTTTCAAGTCACCAGGTCCAGGATTCAAACTGCCAGCTACCATGTGGGAGCCCAGCGCCTTAAACACTATGCCACCCACTGGCCCATCTTGCTCTTCTGGAAACCATGCCTCTCCTGTCTCTGGTGGGGGACTCAGTACGAGAGGTGCGGGCGCCACGCCGTGGTGCTCAGAGCCCCAGCTCCGACCACGGACAGCAAGCATGGACCTTCACGGCCTCCTCCTGGGTGCCATCACACTGCCCGGGTCGGGCCCCAGTGGTGGCCGGTATGGGGGCAAAGGGAGGGGCCTGTGTGGGTCAGCGTGGGTCTGCAGGGGGGAGGGGTGGGGCGCACAGGCCGCGGCTCACCTGCAGGTACCGAGGGGCCTCGAAGGGCACGAGGTCCGACAGGAACTTGAAGAGGAAGACCAGCGCCTTCTTACTGCAGCCATGGCAGCCACGTGTGCTCCCGAAAGACGCCTGGGGAGAGGTGGGTGGGAGCCGGCTGTGGCCAGCGCAGGGCTGGTGGTGCCAGGCCCCAGACTCGACAGTGCTGCTGAAGGGGGGCTGGCAGGTGGTGTGGTGGCTAACGGCACTGGATTCCCACATGGCTGACCATGGTTCGAGAACCAGACCTGACAGCTTGCCTTCTCACTCACAAGCGTGCACTCTCCCACGCTATCCCTCTCTAGTCAAATTAAAATAAAGTTAAATAATTCTTTTTAAATTATTTTATTTCATTTTATTTATTCATTCATTTCAATTTGACCAGAAAGAGACACAGAGCGAGAGAGAGAGAAAATGAGAAAGCAAGTCACCAGACCTGGGACTCAAACCATGATCGGCCACACGGGCATGTCCAGCACCTTGACCACCATGCCTGCTGGCCCCCAAATAATTCTTTTTTAAAAAAAAGAGAGAGGAGGGGGACCAAAGAGAGAGGGACCCAAAGAGAGAGGGGACCAGAAGCAACCCCTGCTTGGCACAGGCCACAGAGGGCCGGCCAGGGCATGGAGGCAAGGGTGTGGGCCCCGCATAGTCAACTATGGTCGAGTCTCGGACTCGAGACTTGAGAATCCCGCCGGGTGCAAGGGTATGTGCCCAGAACCCCAAGGAGCAGAGGAAGGGACTGCGGCATGGCCATGGGGGCGATCTCTCTGGTGAGCACGCACACAATATGGCAAAAATCTAAGATCAGTGACACCAGGCTCTGCATCGACTGAGACGCCCGGAAGCTGACCCCAGGGGGAGGGCCGCCACGAGCCCGCAGAACAGTGACGGTGCTTCCAGGGGCCCCAAGGCCGCGGGCCACTGCCCTGCCATGCTCTTCACTCAGCAGATACACGCAGCTCAGCACAGTGTGCTCCTGTGCACCGACTCCCAGCCACACCCACGCGTGGCCAGGACATGCAGGAGGGGCACCCTCGAGACAAACGGGCAGAGGGCAGCAGAGGGGCGCGTGAGCTCACGGTGCAATAGAGAGCGTGGCTGTAGACGTGGCAGTGGGGCCAGCACTCAGTACATCGGGCAGGAAGGACACCCTAAAGGGCCCGGCCCTGGGCATGTCACACATGAGCCCACAATGGGGCCGGCAGGAGTCACGGTGAAGGTGCTGGACTCCCACGTGCTCACTGCAATTCAAGACCTAGGCCTGGCTGCTGGCTTTCTCACTTTACTCCCTCCTGTCTCTTTCTCTGTTTCTCTCTGGTCAAATAAGTAAATAAAGTTAGAAGTAATTCTTAAAAAAAAAAAGGTGGGGGGGATCAGCAGTTAGCATAATGGCTATGTCACTGGACTCCCATGAAGCTGACTGTGGTTCAAGTCCCAGACCCGGTGGCTTAAACTCATGCCAGGCGCATGTGCATGCATGCCCAAGATCCCAAGAGGAGAATGGAGAAGAAGGAATTGCGGCGTGGCCATCCCCCCTGGGGGATGATTTCTCGCTTTCTATCTCTCTGTCTCTCTGGCAAGCGCATATGCCCTATAGCAAAAACCTCTAAAAAACAAACAAACAAACAAAAACCTGCAAAGAATATCGGCCTGAACGCCCACAGCACCCGAGACCTCAGTCTCTGGAGCCACTAGTCACCAAATGGACCCACACCTGAACAGAGAGCCCATCTGGGTCTGCTCGGAGCACACTCCGCCAGGCAGCTGGGTCTGTTCGGCCCACTCAGGCAGACAGACACAAAAAGCCATCTTTAAAAAAAAATAGGGGGGCCAGTAGACGGTGCGGTGGGTAAGGCACTGGACTCCCCATGACCGACCACAGTTTGAGTCCTGGACCTCGTGGCTTGCTTTCTCACTTTCTCTCTCTGGTCAAATTAAAATAAATAAAATAATTTTAAAAAAAGATATCAGAGAAAAAGGGAGGCGCTGATGGCATCCGTCGCGTGTCTGAGGTGGTCAGGAAGAAACGGTGCCGGAGCACCTGGGAGCAGGAGGCAAGTCGCCCCGTCGGGGAGACAGACCCGGGCTCCCGCCCACTCACCCCCAGTGCCACCCCAGCCCGAGGGGGCCTCACTGCCCTCCAGTAAACTGCCCACACTGAGCCGTCCTCTCCTGGCAGCTTCATCAACTCTTCCTCAGCTTCTCTTTCACTGCAGAGGGCACACGTACTTGCAAGAAAGAGACAGAGAAAGCGACCTCCCGACATGCCACGGCCAGGCTGCAATCGCCTTCTCTATCCTGCTGGGTCTGGGGCTGACACAGAGAAACCCGGCAGGATCTTCACGCACCAAGGCCGGAATTAAACATGCAGACCACATATCGGCCTCCTAGGGGGTGCTTTCATTAAAACCGAAGATACAAACCCCCTACCCCCACCTTCCCAACAGCCCTCATGGACCCAGGGTCCCCACACTGGCTGGCGGGCATTGCTCAGCCCGACTGAGACTGAGGGGCTGGAGGGTCTCAGGATTAGGTCTTTAAAGCCCGGGAGGGCAACGACCAGGCAGGCTGGAACAGCCGTGTGGGCCTCAGAGAACACAGCCACATCCTGGCAGAGAGGGCGAGCCTGGGAAAGCTGCGAAGAGGCAGCGGCACGGCCCATGCAGGCCACTGGCAGGGAGGGGCCAAGCGCCCAGCAGGCGCGACGTCCTTTTCTGTTTCTGCAGTGGGAGACCGAGACATCGTGCTGGGGGTGGCCACAACGCAATCCCTCTCCTGCACTCTCCTCTCAAGGTTCTGGGCACGCATGCACACACGCTTGGTGTGATCAAGCCATCGGGTCTGGGACTTGAACCACGAAGATGGCCATGGGAGTCAGCGCCGTAACCTCCACACCACCCGCCAGCCCCACGTGCCTCCCACGCTTGCTCCTGCACTCCCAAGACCTCAGAACGCTGCAGGGAGAGTCGCTCCTTCCACGCTCTCCTCACTGACTTCACGAATTTCCTCAGAAAAGGATGCAGGCTCTAAGAAAACAGCTGAGACAGAGAAGGGGAAACGCCCAGGGCCCTGCCAAAAGCAGGGAGCCCAGCAGGGCGGTCAGACCGCAGAGACCCCGCAGCCCACTCACACAGCTAAGAGCCTGGGGGCTCCTGAGCTCGAAAGCCAGGCCTGCCGGGAGGAACCCTATGAGGTCTCGAAGACCAGGGCTCACCTTGAACCAGTCGGCGTAGGATAGGGGAGCAGAAGGGCCCTCCAGCGCCACCTGGCGCACGACCAGGAACGCAGTGACGATGCTGTCCACATGGCAGCTCTGCAGCGCGCGCGCCATCAGACGGGCCACCCAGTCTGAAAGAGAACCAGACATAAGCTGGTGGGGCAAGGACGGAGCTCTGCGGGGCAGCCCAGAACCCAGCCAGGGCACCACGCGTGCACGACGCTGACTGACCCCGACATCCCACCAAACGGTACAGAGACAGGCCACCCGACCCCAGGGCAGCACACCGTGGATCAGCTGAACGGCGTCCGGAAAGCAGATGACCAGGGCGGACACGCAGGACAGCACGTGCTGCCAGTGGACCTCCTGTGTCTCGAGGACTTCCTGCAGGTGGCCAACCACCTCCTCTGGGCTCAGCATCACGAAGAGCTGGAATCAAACTTGCTCCCGTCACTGCCGAAGCACCCCAGGGCCAGAGAGGACCTGGCCTCTCATCTCCCACGGAGCCACGGCACCCACGGCCACCTCCTAGCTTCCGTCGGGAGGTGGACATGGAGGGGGCCGTGGCGGTGCAGTCCTCTCCGAGGGGCTCTGCACCCACAGGGGTTCCTCGCCCTGCCCCGAGGAGCAGCTGTCCTGACGCTGGTGGTGGCCAAGGTGTGCACTGCCATGGCCCCTCAGACCAGGACCTGTAACCCGTCAGACCTCGAAGCAGCAGCTCCCGCAGGTGCAGTGCAGCACCCCTACTCACCCTGCGGTACAGAGCTGCGAGCAGGGGCTGGGTCTTGGCAAAGCTCCACTCGTGCTGCCTTTGAACTGCATCAGATGCTGCCAGAGAGAAGTCCGCAGGGGCGACTGTCAGAGCAGTTGGAAGCACTGAGGTGACAATCAGTGAGGCTCAGCACTTCTCTGCTTAACTGCCGACTAACGTGACCAGTCCCACCTTCGACCCGGCTGTCCACTAGTAACCCTTTGTCAAACTTGCTACCATCATCTCCCAAAGCATCGATTTTGCTCCTTTGGACTGCCAATCACCCATCCCGCCTGGGGTGCCTTTGAACGGATGCTCAGGGCAGCAGGTGGGGCCATCGAGGCGGGTGGATCCCATAGCGCAGTGCGTCCCAGGCCCAGCAGTTTGGAAAACACGCCAGCTAAGACCAGCAGATGGCATAACGGTTACATCGCTGGACTCCCACGTGGCTAAGCGTGGTCTGAGTCCCACACCCGGCAGCTTGAAACTCACGCCGGGCACATGTGTGTCATGCTCAAAAATCCCGAGGAGAACAGAGAACGGACTGCCATGTGGCCACCCCTCAGGGGTCATTTATCAGTTTTTGTCTCTCTGGCGAGTACATGTGCTCTATAGTAAAAATACCTAAAAAAAAAAAGGAAAACGTGCCAGGCACATGTGCACGCGCACCCAAACCCTGACAGGAGAGGGAGGCGGCGTGGCCAGCGCCCCAGGGGTGCTCCGTCACAAGCACACACACTCCACAGCTAAACCAAGACTAATCCAGTGGGGCTGGCAGATGTGGTAACGGTCACTTCACTAGACGCCCACCTAGTCGACCGCAGTTCAAGTCCTAGGCCCAGCGGCTTAAAACGTATGCCGGTAAGTGTGTGCGTGCGTGCCCACCCCCCAGGGTGATCTCTCTTTCTGTCTCTCTCTCCAGCAAGGGCATGCACCCTATAGCAAAAATCTCTTCCAAAAAAGAAAAACCAGCAGGTGGCGTGGTGGTTGGGGCACTGGGCACGCCCACATGGCCAACTACAGTTCAAGTCCCAGACTTGGTAGCTGACTTTCTCACTTTCTCTCTCTCTCTCTCTGGCCAAATTAAAATAAATGGGGGGTCCAGCAGATCATGTGGTTAAGAACATTGGACTCCCACATGGCTGACCACAGTTTGAGTCCTGGACTTGGCAGCTTGCTTTCTCACTTTCTCACTCTCTCTCGCTCTGTCCTCTGGTCAAATTAAAAAATAAAGTTAAATAAAATAATTCTTAAAAAATAAATAAAATAGGAACCAGCAGTTAGCGTAATGGCTGTTGCTGGACTCCCACATATTCTGTCTCTCTGTCTCTCTCTGTCTGTCTGGCGAGCACACACGCCCTATAGCGAAAACCTCTTCAAAAAAAAGAAAACAAATAAAGAAATAAAATAAAATCAATGAATAAATTAAATCAAATAAATCATTTTAAAAAGAAAAACAAAAATAGTAATGACCATCACACTGCACTTTTTTTTTTTTTGGAGAGGTTTTGGCTATAGGGCGTGTGCGCTCGCCAGACAGACAGACAGAGAGAGAGACAGAAAGCGAGAAATCACCCCCCAGGGGGGATGGTCACGCCGCAATCCCTTCTCCTCCATTCTCCTCTCGGGATCTTGGGCACACACGCACACGTGCCCGGCGTGAGATTTAAGCCACCTGGTCCGAGACGCGAACCGCGGTCGACTACGTGGGAGTCCAGCGACATAGCCATTACGCTAACTGCTGGTTCCCCACACTGCACTTTTAAGAATTATTTTATTGGGGGCTGGCAGGTGGCGTGGAGGTTAAGGACACTGGACTCCACGTCTCACTCTCACAAAGGAAATCAGAGCCAAGAATAAAGAAGGACCGTTACCTCCTAGTGAGAGGAGACTCAGAGAGCAGCCTCACGAGCGACAGCCGGAGCCCTAAAAGCACCTGCACGGCCAGGACCCGAGCGCCCGTCAAGGGAGGGCAGCCCGAGAAGGCAGAGGTAACACTGCACCGGGACGCCAGCCTACCTTTCAGGACGGGGCTGTGGGTAAGGATCTGTGTCAGGGAGTGACTGCAAAAGCGCTTGGGCGTCTCCGCTGGAATTATACCGCTGTACACGTGTGTGCTGAACACGCCGAGCCTGAGCACAGAGTAAGGGCCTTAGGACAGGGTGCTCTCGTGTCTGGGACCTCAAAGAACTGGGGCTCACAGGTCCAGCCCTGCTCAAAGCCGTGAAAGCACATTATTTGCTCAGACAGCGCAGCCCGACTTCCCGTGGAACCAAGGATGTCATCTCAGCAAGAACACTGAGGACAGGTTGGGCCTGCACACCCACAGCAGCCAGGGCACCAGTAGGTTGGGGGACTGGAGGCCACCAGGACAGACAGGTCCAGCAGCTGCCAAACCGCCTCTCAGTCCCACC